GGAAGAGCCTGGGGCCGGGAGCAGCAGCCAGGAGGAGCAGGCCCTGGCCACAGGGCGCCCTGGCCGTGCTCACCCCGGGCAGCTGCGGGTGCAGGCATCTCCCTCCTGGAGGCAGCAGCGGGAGGGGCCGGGAGGGGCAGCGTGCCAGGGCACCGTTGCCGCGGTGACGGGGAACAGCGTTGCCTAGTAACGGGTCTCATTCTTCCCAGCACTTTGAGCTGGATGTGGTTGCCATAGTGAACGACACCGTGGGAACCATGATGTCGTGCGGCTACGACGACCCCAGCTGTGAGGTCGGGCTCATCGTGGGTAAGGGGCGCCCCCCCCCCCCGCACTGGGAGCCCTCCCCCAGCCCAGCGGAAGGGGCTACTAGACCCAGGCCCAGGGGATTTGGGGGACAAACGCTGAGGAAAGGGTCGGGGTGTGTCGCTCAGAGGTTCAAACGGGGGGCTCGGGACGGGGCACCGGGCAGAGGACCCCGGGCGGGAGCAGGAGCGTGTGCAGCTGGGCCCTAGGCGCGCGTCGGAAGCAGACTGGGGCTGCAGGGGTGGGGAAGCTGGGGGGGCCCGCGGAACAGGGGCCCCATAACTAGGGCCGGAGGGCTTGCGGGGGGGGACCCATCTCGCAGGGCTGTCTGCAGGAAGTCGAGAGCAGGCTGCGCCAAGGCCGCCTTCACCTCCCGGGGTAGGCGCAAAGGGTTTGGGGTGGGAGCCTGGGCCGGTGCCCCTGAGCCCCTGGCCCTGTTGGGACCCCCCCCAGTGCTGGCCCTTGGCCTTGCCCCACTCGGGGGGCTGCGCTGCTGGGCCCTGCCGGACGGGGGGGGGCCGCACTGACGCCCCGTCCCCCCTCAGGCACAGACACCAACGCCTGCTACATGGAGGAGCTGCGGAACGTGGGCGCCCTGGCGGGGGAGGAGGAGGGGCGGATGTGCATCAACATGGAGTGGGGGGCGTTCGGCGACAACGGCTGCCTGGACGCCTTCTTCACCCCCTTCGACGCACAGGTGGACGCGGCCTCGCTGAACCCCGGCAAGCAGAGGTGGGCACTGGGGGAGCGGGACGAAGCAGGAGCAATGCAGGGCCGGCAGGGGCTGGGTGGGGC